TGAAGCAACGTCCTCCACAACTAGACTGAAGAACAAAAGGACAGCAACTTGTCTGTTCCCGTTCCCCGATTCCCCAATGCTGTTACCATCCCCCAATTCCCCAATAAAATCTTTAAAAAAAAAAAGTGTACACCTAACTGGGCACTCAATAATATATAACATAAATGGCACCTATTTGGAAAGTTTTACACACGTGCCATTTGTTTAAGCCTCACGACAACCCCACGGGTTAAGAGCTTATTACCTCTATTTTAGAAATGAGGATACTGAGCACGAGGATATTTTTAAATTAAAAAACAAACAAACAAAAAACCACCTCGTCCAAGGTCGCAGGGCTAGTAAATGGTGAGTCTGGTGTTTTAAGGAGCCACTCAGTCTCCAGATTCCTTGCTCTCAACATACTACATGGCCTCTGGGTCAAGAGGAATGCAGTTAGGAAGATTTAAAATGAGTGGGCCGGGAAGGGGAGCGGTCAAGCAGACACTCCAGCAAGTCCAAGGCCCCCTTTTCTGTCTGCAGTAAACGCACGGGCACTTCTGGAGCACATCTCCTAGCCCCGCGCCGTGACCTCCACCGGATCTGGTGGAGCTCCCCTCCCCCCGTCGACGCAGGTGGCCAAGCAGCCGCTCCTCCCGGGGCCAGGATCGGAGCACACCGCCTGGAGGCAAAACAAAGGCCTGCAGCTCCCGGAGCTCCCCGCCGCGCCCAAGGCGGCACCGCCCCGGACGCCCCGAGGCCCGGCCCGCTCTCCGGGTCCCCCGGCCCCACCTCAGCCCCGCTCGCGCCCCACCCCGGGCCGCTCACGCAGCCTCACCGGCTTCTGGGCGGCGCCCGATAACACGCGGGAGACGGCGGCGAGCATCTTCCTCATGGACTGATGGCAGTGGCGGTGGCGGTGGCGGTGCCGGTGGCGACGACGGCGCCTAACGATCCAAGAGAGGCCCCCACCCAGGTGTCTCCCAAGTCTCCTTCAGGCGCCCGGAACGGTTGCCACGCCCTAACCGCAGCGCGACGTGACCGAGACGTAGACGTTATACGCCGCGCCAGGCCGCAGGCCAACCAGGAGAGTTCCCAAGGCATTCCCCGCCCACCAGAAAGGCTCATTGGGTATCGGCACCAGAGGGGGCGGTGCTAAGGGCTCTTGCTGTCACCCCGGGTGGGGGGACGCTGACTCCAGGGCGCATGCATGGGACAGTAGGGCACCGCCCTCGGAGCCGCGCAGGAAAAGATCCTTCATGGATTTAGCACCACAGATTTGCCGTGCACGACTGGAAGTCGTGCAGGCCAATCCCACCATGTACTGGGTACTGCTGGTGCTGCCTTCGCTCAATATACGCAATAATAAAGATGAACAGCATGGTCGGGCCCAAAAGACCGAATGTTAAATTGTCCAAGAGATCATGTAACAATTGTCAAATGCTGCCCTGTCTACTTGAGCTAGGATCCAAAAATCGGTTCCCCAGGTAAATGTTGAGAGGTCAATGGGAAAAGTCTTATGTCTCTAGTTATTGATTCACATGCTCAACGTGAGTGAATCGCATGACACGGCTGATGATTCAAACAAACAAACAAACAAACAAAAAAAACCACACACAAAGAAACACAAAAGCAACTCTGGGGTCTCTTCAGAGGAGTTCCCGAGTCAAAGCACTAATTGTGCACCAATGCAATTGCACCTGGGGTACTGGGTTCAGATTTGGGCTCCACGTTTTAAGGGGGTGCAATGAGAAAACAGCTATTTTGAGTGGCTGCCCAGGCATTTTACAGCATGACCACCCTGCTCACACCGAATCTGGACATTTAGATAAGGACCTGAGATTAGGATTTCCGCCATAAGCTCCTGCTTTGGTTTTCCTGGGGCACCTTTTAAAATAACCACTTAGAGTTGAGCCTGTGAAAAGTTAGTGACCTCCACCTCAACCACCTTATAAATAATAAGTGCTTGTTACCCTGCTCATTCGTGACCTGGGACAGAGTAAACTACCCTTCCCCTGGCTCATGGAGGAGTTGGGTAGCAGCAGGCATTTTCTGGGATCTGTAAGTAATACACCTTGTTCCTTTACTTCCTTTGTGTGAAGTGTATGGCACCTTCAATCAAAGTGACCCGGGGTTTTTCACTTCCCTAAAGTGAAAAAGCAGACTAACTTAGGGTGGGTTAGGTTGTGTTTTAACAATCAACCTCTACCTTTCAGTCACCTTGCTCATGCTACAGGTCCCTTATGGCTTGGCTGGGGCTCTGCTCCATGTCATCTTCACTCTGGAACCCAGACTGATGGAGCAGTCTCAATCCAGAACCTATATTGTCTCACTATAGAAGGAAAAGAGATCTAAACTGCCTCTGGAAGTTTCTACCCAGAAGTGACACATGTCACTTCCTCTCAGTCTCCATAGACCAGAGCTAGTTACCCAGCCATGTCTGAGTTCAACAGGGTAAAGTATGATCCTCCTGCTGTGATAGAGACCAGGAAATTGGATGAACACTAAAGCCTCAGAGGATTAGATACATCTTCACATATTTTCAGGCCTGTCATGTTCCAGGAGGAAGAACTAATGTGTGTTTGTATGTGTGTGAATAAAATGATTTTAATTTATTATAACAATGAATTTTCTAACAATGAGAATTGTCCAATGAGATCATTCCCTACCACTGTCACCAAAAGTATTCAAAGCAGAAACTCAAAGCATGACGAGCTGTCAGAATAGCAGAGAAAGGGTTTGGACACTGGCAGGCAGGCACCTGGAATGAGAGAACTTGTTGACTCCTTCCACCTCTATGACCAGGTTGCAATAAGAAGAATGTGCCTTACAGGAGCGAGAGGGGGCCATTAAAAGGCAGGGCTGGAAGTGAGAGCCATTGTACAGTACGGCTTCAGCAGCTGCTGCTGCTGATTGAATGTACAGGGTGAAAAAAAGGGAACAAAAAGAGTTGGAGGCCAGATGTCCAGGTCCTGAGAAGAAGCTGGTTTGGATTGTTTGGGACGTGTTGACCTGGAGGTAGTGGTGGGACAGCTATCTGAAGATGTCCCCTAGGAAATTGGAGTTGTAAGTCTGGAACATATGGCTGAAAATATGGATTTGGGAGTTATCTGCATAGGGGTCATATTGGTTGTGTATGTCCAAGAGCACTGTAGGACATACGAACATAAATTCATTCATTCATTGAATACATATTTATTGCACACTGACGATGTGTCAGGTGCTATACCAGGCACTGCAGATAGAGCAAGGAACAAGTAGAATTTAGATCCTCCTCTCACAGACCTTACAGTTGAATAGGGTTAATTCACAAGTGCACATAAATATACATTATATGAACATAGACTACAAATGATAAGTGGTGTGAAGAAAGGCCCCTCTGATGAGGGGACAAATGAGCAGAGATCTGAATGCAGTCGGGGAGCAAACTATGCAAAGATCCAGAGGAGGGCTTTTCAGACAGAAGGATCAACAGATACAAATGCCCTGAGACAGAAATAAACTCTGTATATTAAAGAAATAGCAAGGAGAGCCGGTGACTCGACTGGCATAAAGGAGGCAGAGGGTGGTATGAATTAGAAAACAAAGAGCAGCACAGGTAAGGACTTAGTGGGATTTGTTTTTCTTTTTCTTGGTTGGAAATTGCATTTTGTTTTAAGTGGGATGGGAAGCCATTGGAGGGAGGGGAGCAGAGAAATGGCTTAATTTAATTTCTGTTTCCATGGGACCTTTAAGACCATCCTGACTGCCGAGTGGACATTCGACCACATGAGAACAAGAGTTCCCGTAGTGCTTATTTGTTCTTTGAGTTCTGGGTAGCTTCCCCCTCCTTTAGGGGGACTCATGGTCATAGACAGATTGAATGTGAATTGTTCTTTGCTTTATATTCGCAGTAAGTAGAATCCTCTACCCTCCGTGTGTCATCACTACCCAAATGCTATAAAGATTTAAGACGCTGGGTTTTATGAGAACAAAGGATAGATTAGGTTATGTTGCAGTGACACATTAGCCTCAATTATCAGTGGATTACTACAACCAAGGTTTATTTTTTACTCATGTTCTACCTCCCACACGGATTAGCCAGGGGCTCTCTCCAATATATCACTCAGGAACTCAGGATGACAGACGCTCTAATATTTCAGTATGTGACCTGCATGGTCAATGAAGCAGGGAAGGAGAGAGTTCAGAAAGGTTTCACAATGGCTCTGAAATGCTTTGACTGAGTGTCCCCTGTCGCTAGCACTCAGTTACCCTAAAAACGGCAGCTCAGTGAATTACTCTGCCATCCAGTAAGCCACTCCTTCTCCAACAAGGGGGCTCCTCTTTGGGTACTATATGTCACCCCACCCAGCAGTGGCTGGTTCTTATATATGCTATTCCTATATCCTTTCGAGTTCTTTTTATCTCTTCTCCCTCCTACTTCAACCTCTAATTACAGGAAAACCATGGAGCTGCTGTGGATTCGCTTCCAGACCACGTAATAAAGTGAGCATCGCAATAAAGTGAGTCGTAATCTTTCTGCTGGTGGAGGGCCTTGCCTTCAGTTTAAAAAAAAAAAAAAGCAACACCTGTGAAGCTCAATAAAGCGAGTGCAACAAAACAAGGTATGCTTGTATTTGAACAATAAGTAACAATAGAAGTGAACTATAACCCACCGAAGAAAATAAATATCAACAAATCCATACAAACATAAACATATAATTGAATAAATAAGTGGGGGGGAAGGTCAACTTTTCCTTACAGCAGAATTCCAATTAATTAATACAGAAGTAAATAGAAAAAAACCACCACTTGGCAAAGGCCACAGTAATAATTATTGCAGGCCAGAATGATCGATGGAGGGTAAAATGAGTAGGTAAAGTAAGATGAGAAACAGGATGTTTGTATAATCTCAGAGTTTCTCCCTAAAAGATACTGATTAATTATAAAGTTTAAAACAGTAACTTCACAGTGGAGAAACAAGGTAATCCAGTTTTTCATAACTAAGGTATTTTCTTTACACCTTTTTTTGGTCAGAAAGTTCAAAGCCAGAGTTGGAAGTAACCTTGAAGGTGAGGGAAGCTTCAGGCGTTGTATGAGTGGTGACAGGTTAAGGCTATAGTTAATAGTCATTGGCTATGGGCCAAAGCAATGCCATCTGTGCCAGAACATTAACAAAGGACTCCTGCATCTGAAGGAGGGGAGGCCAAGGGGATGGAGAAACAATTGCAAAAGACAGGGATTGAGGAGAAGGTCTTTAAAAAATGTTGGAGAGGGCCGGCCGAGTGGCGCGATGGTTAAGAACTGGCTTGGGATGCCAGAGGGCCCCGGTTCGGATCCCACATATGAGGGCCAGTGACACTGCCCTCCACAGCTAAGATGCTGAACAACAGCTCAACCTGGAGCTGGGCTGCTGTGAGTCGCCAGTGACGGCGTAGGCTGCAGCCCCTGTGGCAGTGGGTTGCCATGGGCTACCATGTGTAGCCAGCAGCCAGTGTGAGCGGCCAGCAGCCGCAGTGAGCGGCCGTCCAGAAGCTGGCGACTGATGTGCCTCGCCCGGGAAGAGCGCAATGATGGTGCCAACTTGGGCCAGTGAAGCAACGTCCTCCACAACTAGACTGAAGAACAAAAGGACAGCAACTTGTCTGTTCCCCTTCCCCCAATTCCCCAGCGCTGTTCCCATCCCCCAATTCCCCAATAAAAATCTTTAAAAAAAAAATATATATATATAGGTCTTAATTCTCGCCATTGGAAAGACATAGAAGCAAAGAGCTAGCCAATGGTAATTATTCTGAAAACTGGTAAAGGAAAACAGTCGCAGATTTATCCTGCCTCTCCTGTACAGACTGAATTTTGAGGTAAACCAATAGTTGATGAAGGAAAGTTCTTTATAGAACACTTTCTGCTAATAAATACTTATCGGGGGGGTCACTTCATAAATTATATAAATGTCTAACAACTACTCTTATGTGGTACACCTGAAATTAATATAAAATAATATTGAATGTTAACTACAATTAAAAAAATAGTCATGGATACAGCATAGGGAATATAATT